TATTGTGCTAGAAATGTTGTATTTAAATAAGTACTGTTACAATAAAGATACTAATTTGGCCGGAAATCTTTTGTGGGTCTCTGCTAGTTGTTATAAACATAATAACAGTGTTAAACGATACAGTCCCTACACTGGGAGGGGGTCTAAGAAAATATTAAAATAAAATCACTGTACAACTAACCAGTTAGCTATAGCATAATAACATTGTAATTTAAATTAATTGTATAATGTTATTGTGCTATTTTGTTTTTATTAAACAACCAAAATAAGTAAAAAATGACTACTCTCGAAACTGGTCGAAAGCTAGCTTCAGTAAAAGAATTTGAATGTATATTTCACATATAAGTACGGTGGAACATGTTTTTTTTAAACAATTTTCATTCTAGTTTAATATTAACCACATTACAGTGGGATTATTCTTCAAAATTAAGCTCTAGTTTTCAAAATATTTTTGAAGGTTTTAGGTGACGTTAGCTGTTTTAAGATTACTAAATAATATGTTATGACGTAGTAAAAACGAATAAAGGTAATATTTGAATGAACTATGACGGAAATAATTATAAGTTTTAGTCTAGACATACTCTGACAGAAATAAAATTACACTAATGGTTATTACCTTTTAATCTCACCCAAAGTAAATTAACATATAAAGGTAATATTTGAATGAACTATGAATATTTGAATGAACTATGACGGAAATAATTATAAGTTTTAGTCTAGACATACTCTGACAGAAATAAAATTACACTAATGGTTATTACCTTTTAATCTCACCCAAAGTAAATTAACATACTTTCTTAACAATTACGCATGCTCGGGATGGCCAGGTGGTTAGAGCGCTCGACTAGCAATCTGAGGGTCGCGAATTCGAATCCCCGTCACACCAAACATGCTCGCCATTTCATCCGTTATAATCTGACGGTCAATCCCACTATTCGTTGGTAAAAGAGTAGCCCAAGAGTTGGCGGTGGTAGTGATGACAAACTGCCTTCCCTCTAGTCTTACACTACTAAATTAGGGATGGCTAGCGCAGATAGCCCTCGTGTAGCTTTGCGCGAAATCCGTAACAAACAATTACTCATAGTTAATATCACCCCAGTTAGCTCAACATTTTATTATTATTATTATTATTATTCCTGTAAACTCCCAGTGGAGCATAGGGCCGTAACAACACCTCACCAACGGAAAGTTGTTGTTGCAGTTACTTGTAGCAGGTTGGTTTTTACGGGGTGGAGTTGCTAGCCCCGCGCCCAACCCTCCTCCTTTCTCATCCTGGACTTGGCGGAGGCAAAGGCGGAGGTTGGTATGTTTGGTGTGACGGGGATTCGAACCCGCGACCCTCAGATTACGAGTCGAGCGCCCTAACCACCTGGCCATGACGGGCCTAGCTCAACATTTAGTCACACTTAATCTCCCCCAAAGTAACTTAACAATTGCTCACTATTACTGTCTTTCAAAGTAACCTAACAATTACTCACAGTTAATATCACTTAAAGTAGCTCAAAAATTAATTGCAGTTAATATCACCCAAAGTAATCCAACATTAGTCACACTTAATGTCACCCTAAGTAAATCAATTATTACTGTTAATCAGTAACTCAGCGATCACTCACAGTTAATCTCACCCTAAGTAACTCAGCAATTAGTCAAAATTAGTTTCACCAAAACTATACAACAATTAGCCACAGTTGATATTACTTAAAATATTCTAAAAATTACCATTAATCCTACTTAAAAATTATCAGATAATTAATCAAACTTATCAAAATTAGCATAATAATTACTTACAGTTAGCCTCACCCAAAGTAACTAAACAATTACGGTTAACATCACGTAAAGTAACGATAATTACTTACGGTTATTCTCACTTAAGGTAGTCTAAGAATTACTCACAGTTAATTTAACCTAAAATATTATTCACAGTTAATATCGATTAAGATAACCCAACAATTACTCACACGTACCCTCCCTAAAGTATCTCAACAATTACTCACATTTAATTTAACCTAAAATATTATTCACAGTTAATATCAATTAAGATAACCCAACAATTACTCACACGTACCCTCCCTAAAGTATCTCAACAATTACTCACATTTAATTTAACCTAAAATATTATTCACAGTTAATATCAATTAAGATAACCCAACAATTACTCACACGTACCCTCCCTAAAGTATCTCAACAATTACTCACATTTAATTTACCTAAAGTAACTCAACGTTTATCCACAGTTAATCTCATCTAAAGTAACTCAACAGTTACAGTTAACCTACTCCAAAGTAACTCAACAGTTACAGTTAACCTACTCCAAAGTAACTCCAAAATTAGACACAGTTAATCTCTCTCCCAAAATAACTCGACGATTACACACAGTTAACCTTACCCAATAATATTCAACAATTAGCCACAGTCAATCTCACATAATATAATACAACGATTGGAAAAGTTAATCTTACCTAAGATAACCCAACATTTGGTCAAAGTTAATCTAACTTAAAATAACCCACAAGTTAGCCATGATTAATAACCCAACAAGTAGGCAAAGCTAACCCAATAATTAGATAAAGTTAATCCCACCAGAAGGTACTAAGATCGTGTATCAATTAATTCTTCGAGCTGGGATATTTACATAATTGTAAATATATTTGATAATAGCTTTTCACGCGTTTTGAAAATCGTTATACAAGGTGTCTGAGAAGCCTAAACCCATAGAGAAAATACAATGTATTCTTAATTTATTCATAATTCAATTTCATGCCATCAACAGCCATACATATACCAATTCTTGGTATACCGTGTCATTAGGGTATTTTCTTTCCTGAAATATGTACAACTGACATAAGAAATGTGTTTGTTTAACTTCAAGAGTATAATGTATATTTTCCCTATTGATCCAGACTTCTGGGACACCACGTATTACCACTTTATACAAAGTGAAAAGATTAGATCCCTTGTGTTTGTTTAACTTCAAGAGTATAATGTATATTTTCCCTATTGATCCAGACTTCTGGGACACCACGTATTACCACTTTATACAAAGTGAAAAGATTAGATCCCCGCTTTATGGTTTAACACAAACCAAACTTTATAGCCGAATATCACTTTATTAATTAAAGCCACAAATTAATAATATCTACATTCTTCTGTCTCTTTCTTATACTCTTTAATAGCATGGTTACAGATAGATAGATATACCACCTTTAATATTGTTCATTGAGATTTCGTCCCTGGACTCTTGTTCACGAGCAAGTTCTCCAAGCACAGCCTCGACAATAGGGACCATCATAGCTGTAGTAGCTGTGTTACTGATCCACATGGACAAGAACATGGTGGTCAACATGAACCCCAACATTAACCTGGGAGTTAACATGAACCTTAGTATTAATATCAAAGTACAACACTAACGTGATGGTAAGCATGAACCCCAAGATTAACCAACAAGTTCAACATGAATATAATGGTCAGTTATGAACCTCATTATTAACGTACAAGTGCACCACAAACATAATGGTCAGCATGAACCTCAATATTAACCTGAAAGTACAACACGAACATAGTCAGCATGAACCTGGTACCCAACATTAACTGCAAATACAGTAAGAATATGATAGTTAGCATAAATCTCAATATTAGCCTGAAAGTACAACACGAACATGATGATCAACATGAACCTTAACCTGCAATTACGACACGAACATGATAGTTAGCATGAACCCGGTACCCAGTATTAACTGCAAGTACAGTAAGAATATGATTGTTAACATAAATCTCAATATTAACTTGTAAGTACTACATGAATATAATGGTCAGGTGGAACCTCAGTATTAACCTACAAGTACAACCAAACGTAATGGTCAGTATGAACTCATTTATAAAACACGTCCGTAAACGTAATGGTCAGTATGAACTCATTTATAAAACACGTCCGTAAACGTAATGGTCAGTATGAACTCATTTATAAAACACGTCCGTCACGTAATGGTCAGT